CACTTGAGAGAACCCTCTAAAGAAGAAGTCTAATGGAGTCAAATTGCATAATCACGATGGCCACGGCCACTTAACATCACCTCCACGTGAAATGACCATGCCCTCAAATCGCTCGTGCAGAATATCCAATGTGGCATGAGCTGTGTGGTATGTAACTCTGTTCTGTTCACATACCAGACTAACCCACAAAGTGTATCGAAAACCCACACACACAGATAGATACTTGCACGCACTATCGTACCACCATCCTAGCCAAAAGAGAGAAGTCATCTCCACTCCAACGGAACGGGCTCGGAGAATATGTGAACAATTTGTTGTGCAGATTTGAAATATTTGTGTTTTCCGTTAGAACCATGTTTATTCCAATTATCAACGTTGTTAACGCTATTACATTAATCACACATATCTTTTATCCGTTACTTTTCAATATAGTAATTATACGATAATGGCTTGTACGATTTGGTATATAACAATGAAAATAAACTCGTTAAACAGACTCACACTACTAAAGATATGATTACCGTTTGAAATACCGTATTTCAGTTCTACAAATATTAGGAAAGAGGTAAATCGTTCAGTGTCAGGGATTGAATGATGTTGAATATTTTCATTCTGTTGGTTTTGAAACAGAAAATAATCTCATTAATCCATGTTGATCCACTAACCAGGTCTCTTATCTCAGTCTTCTGGTCGATATAAATATTTGAATTAGTAGTTTCTATCGTATCTCAGACTTCCTACTTCAAGTAAATATTTAAAATAATTTGAAAAACGTGGTCAGTATTATTTTCCCAGATAATTGCCCCAGTCTCGCACTTTATAGAATCACTCCAATACTTTTAGTAGGAAAATAAGTGTCGGTATTCTGAAGAATTTACAAAACCAATGGGATGAGAAATTATGGTTTTATTTTGAAAATAACATTTAATTGATAATGTTACATTCTCAAGTGAAATGTTTCTTCAAAAAATTATAAAATACTTTTTGAATTATCTTTTTAACTGTTCCTATATTGAGATTCGATGAAATCCCAAAACACAAGACACAAAAGACAAAACATTTCTTAAAAACAACCAAATATATTCACGATAAAGCATAAAGTGTAATCCTATCGATTTAATGAAAATATAATTTTTGCAATACCTGATCAAAGCTTCTTGATAAAAACTTTGAAACTTTGGGGAAACAGATTTAACACTCTGTCACACTGATCCCATTTTAACATATTCTCCTCAAACTTCATTATGACTTTAATTTTTTTTGCTTCATTGTTGTCACCTCAAAAACGGCGACAAAAACAAAATAACTATTCCTGATTAGAACTTCATCATCTTTCTCGATGCAGGTTTTACCAGTCAAGTTGGCGTTATCAGCAGATGATTAAATGTGGGAGAATTGTTTTCTTTGGTTCATGAGAAATGAATTAGGAACAAGTAGGAAATAACAGGTTGAGGCTGAACTCTCCTATGCAAAGGTGGGCGGAAAATATTGTTAATTATAGATTGTATTGTTAGTTTTGAATTTAATCGGTTTACTAGCAATTCCTTGATATCGCAGGGTATCAGAGTTATCCCTCAAAGAACTCAAGCCTTTTGCAACTTGGAATCTGCAAAGTAAGTGTTCTCCAATTAAAGAACATCGGATTTCACGGTCGGACAAAATACGGCTGGTAGGCCCTGGTCAAATGGTACTTCTGGTTCCATTCGACCACGGCGTACCAGATCAGATTTTGTTCTCTACAAGTATTCTTCAGTTTCAGTGGCTAGCACCGTCCAATATTTCACAGAGGTGAAACCTGAGTATACAAAATGCTGTGAGCAATTCCATTACCAATCTCTAGTCTGTATGACCAAACCTAGAAGCTGTTCAGCTTTCTTTGGGCATAGTCTAATTAACTTGTCCGCTTGTTTTTTCCTTTTATTATCCTATTTATATCCTAGTTACTCATGTTCCATTTGCAGGAATGTTTCCTCTATGAGACTCCTCGAGAGTACGTAGAATTCTATGGGTCTATAAACAGAGTGTTGGTTCTTTCCCTCCATTCGATCATCATATGGCCTAGTTCCTAGTCCTAAGACAGTTTTTTACTCATATTTAGGTGATGTCAGAGCTTTCAGTACTGCTTGGTGATCTGATAAAAGATAGATCTTTGGGCCACGACTGTCTTCTGAAATACTCTCAATCCCACATCTCTCCTACTTGAGTGCTAGTGGGGGCTTCCAGTGAGTATTGGTTGAGAACTGGAAATGGACTCGGATACCCTTAGCTACTACTAGTTTCCTGCTAGTTAGAGTGGATCGTGGAGGGTAGCGAGTTGGCGATAAAAACGATACTTTGCAAATACAACAGGGACTTCCGAACATTGACAATAGATAACGGACATCTTATTGAAGCTACATCTGTCAAATTACCCTGAACGGATCTAGCATTCAACAACACGTGCAAATAAACTGATTCAGTAAACGATCGACCAACACCTGTACGTCGATAAACGCAAAATCTGCCAAAAACATCGTCGCTGTCTGTGAGAGTGTGCAGGAGAATCCAATTTCGCTCGCGAACGGAACAACGTGTGTTCGCTGAATGGGCTCTGGAGTAGTTGCCAACCGACCTTAATCTTCATCGAAACATCATATTTAGCGATGAGACCCATTTCTGGATGAAAGGGTACGTGAACAAACAAAATTGTCAAATTTATCATCGGTCCTTATTTCTTTGAGAACGACGTTGGCCAGACCATCATTGTCAATGGCGATATATAGGTCGATGATTACGTACCTCTTTTGGTCTGACCGCGTGGTCATCCCACGCGGAGATGATGTCAACTGGCCACCGACATCGTGCAATTTGACCCCGTTAGACTTTTTCTTGTGGAGTTTTCTTGAGTGGCAGTTGTATGCGAATAAGTCACAAGCCAACATAACCTATGTCATCGGTCAAATTCAGCGTCAAAAACATGGAAAATTGGACGTTTTAGATGCGCTCCACACAGAGAAGCCATGGGGAAAATCAATAGGTCTTTCACACACACTTTGTTTCATTTACATTTAAATATAGGAAACGCTTAATGAAAGACCCTATACCGATGCGGATTTTCTTCCATTTTTTTTTCGATATGTAGGTCGTCACAAAAATCCATAAAACATTTATTGCACAATTGTTATTGTTTCGAAATTATGATTCATTTTATTTTCTGAAAACGTTCTACTTTTCAAATGAGTAATGAAATATGAAGTAGTTGAAAAGTACTTAGGTTTAGGGAGAGCTTGAGCAGGGGCTTGGATTCAAATCTACCACACCAAAAATGCATTCTTTTCGCTATTTATCAGCCAAGTTGATGTCAACAGGAGCTGAACTATAGATACTATAGTATGGTGCGTTAAGAAGTGTTACAGTTTTGGTTTGTGTGAGTAGTCTTTGAGCTAAAGGTTAAAGTTATGTATGTCTGATTGTACATATTATCAGTTAACTAGTTTAGTGATCCAATAACTTCTCTGAAGAAAAGTTGGTTAGGTAACAGGATCAATTTTTTTCTAAAAAAAAACAATTGTTTTCTTAACAACGTTTCGAATTCATTTAAATTCTTCTTCAAGGCTCTGTAACAATGAATTTTCATAACCTCCCACAAAACTTATACGATTATTATCGTTTCAATTTTACAAGAAACAATGAGTTCTTAGTTAAATTACTCACCGAAAAGTAGTTTCTTCGTGTTATTAATACTATTTTAAAACCCATTAGACATATTAGAAACGTTAAAAAAAATAAAAACATTGCAATAACCATTTCGAGAAAACATCAATACAGAACGACATGAAACAAACGAATGGCTTTATCTGTGATTCTGATAAGGTGGTGTCTGTTTGTTAATCAATGACAGAAAGTAAAAAAGAATAAAGGGTAAATTATGTAGTATTAAGGCCATCGACATCTCTTCTAATGTTAACACTATCGCATTTGAGGATATATATCATTTCGCTCAAGAGTCTTTTGAATAAATATGGTTGAACATATAGAATAATTTGATGATCAAAGTCAAACATATGTCCATATTCTCTTTCATGTTCAACGAGGGCTGTGGGGTTGTTTATATTTAGTTTCTTGGAGTCTCTCATGTGTTCTGAAACTCGTGTTTTAAGATACCGCCTGGTTTGACCAACATAACTTCAGCAGTTCAATTTGTACACTATATTGTTTTTTGTTTCGAGAAAAAATGCTTTCCAACTGTATGTTCATTTGAATACTGCATAGACTGGCCTTAATACTGCGTATTTCAATTTGATAAGTGAAATCTGTCATTGATTAAAAAACAGACATCACCTTATCAGAATCACAGATAAAGCCATTCGTTTCTTCATTTCTTTCTGTGTTAATGTTGTCTTGAAATGGTTGTTGCAATGTTTTTTATTTTCTTAATGTCTCTAATATGTCTGATGGTTTTCAAAATAGTAATACTGACACGAAGAAACGACTTTTCGGTGAGTAATTTAATTAAGAACTCTTTATTTCTTGTAAAATTGAAACGTTAATAATCGTGTTACAGCGCCCTGAAGAAGATTTTATTAAATTCGAAACGTTGGCAATGAAACAATTGTTTTTTAATAAAAAATTGATCCTGTTACCCAACTAACCTTTCTTCAGTGTACATATTATACCTACAATTATTTTTATGCAATTTCTGAAAGAAATTTGGTTGGGTTCATTTATTTCATGTTTGTATTCCATATAAGTAGTCGACTTCGACTGGATATTTTACCCACAATAATTTATCTAGTTGACGGTGGATGCTACGAGTTACATGTCTGATGAGATTGCGAATGGTTATAATGCTCCCCAAGTGACTCGAAGATTTATTAACAGTCGATTCCGATTACTCAGAAAAAAGTGTTTCATTTTACCATCATTAAATGTCAATGTACGGTTTAGTCGGCAGAAACCCCCCTGAAGTCCAGCAAATTTGAATTGGAGTAAGTCTGCGAAATTTCAAACAGATTACTCACCCAAAAGCTCCTGCCTCTGTACCTCCAAGTAGTCCTCTGCAACATCAACTAAACACGATGTGTCATACCGAACCGCACAAGAAACCAACTCGGCATAAATCATTCTGGAAGATCGTCCTTTTCCTGTGGGAAATTCTGTCGAGGCAGCCTCCGTGTCATTTTCGACCCTTTGGCTAATGATGCTCTCAACTTTTTTAATATCTACACAACCTACTCCACAGAAAAAAAATATCGCAACGACGAAAGCAAGTCTGTGATTCATCTTCGATGAATATCTGTCACTGATCAAATCACTTATACGACAGCGATACACTGTTTACATTAACACAGTTTCCTGCTCTTCGTCTTGAGGACACCTTGAACTTCTACACGTTTGTGAAGGCCGCCCAATGAAGAGAAGTATTTATAAGGAAGAGAGATCGCTACGTGTTTGCACAGTCTCATGGCTCACTTAAGAAAATGTGGAACAATGTGTCTGATTAGCGTGGTGTTTATTTCACAGGACCGGATTTGATGTTCCAGGATGTTCTCTTGATTTTCGAGAGCATCTCAACGAGAACGAACGTTTAATAGAATTTTCTGTATTCGTAAATCGACTTTCTGAATGCAAAAGGCTCTCATAGTCTGGGCCACAAAATTCTTGGAACTTCTGTCCAAGAGCACCGAAAATTATGATCCATAGCTCATTCGATTCGGAATGACATCTAGTGACTTTTTGAAAAATTTCAAGAGAGGCTCCAAAAAATTGCAAAAGTTATAAACAATTTATTGATAAAAGGGGGTTTGGTTTTTTGCAAATATATCGGAAAATAGTAAACACTCATAATTTTAATTTAGATACGAAAATGGCGCTAAATGCGGACGATGCGCGTCTCGCACGTTCTGACCGAAACGGACCTTTGAACAATAAAAATTATTTTAACACATTGAATATCATTATTGAGAAAAAAAAATCACATGCCTTCCAGACACTTGAATAAACCAAAATCCATAAAAGAACATTTCTGTGGTTATTTTATTAGATATACTTCAGTTAATTAACTAATTTT